AAGCTCATTTCGAAGCTCGCACGCAGGGATCAGGAAAATCGACCGGCAGCCACATCGCCTAACTGGAATCGAGTTTCAAAGAAGAGTGAAATTTTCGCGGCATCTGTGCGTGAGAGCGCAGCTAGCGTGCAGCATCCATGGGTCAATTGCAGTCGCCGCGACGTTCGATCACCGCCGCGTTCTGGCTTCGCGGCAGCCTACGAGGAGTACGCACAGAATACTGTGGACGCGGTCAAGAGACCATCTGGCAGCAAAGGCATCCGTACTAATGGCGGCCGGGTATTCATGGCTGCAGATATTCCCAAGTGAGGATCTCGAATTTCTGGCAGGATGATTTGAAACTTCTCACCTAACATCCAATCATTCCGTTTTTTTTCCGCCGCTTATCCTTGTGTGATTTTCTTCATCTACTTGAACCTACTGCCGTCTTAATTTTATAATCATTGTGATTTTCCAACAATCTTTTCTGAAGATTTCAAAAAAAATGGGATATCTTTCAAATGGTTCTTAGTTTTCCTTTTGACAGCCTGAAATATTTTGCGCTGTGGAATAACTCTGCATTAGTGAACGTCTTTATAGCGTTTACCAGAGTACAACGTGCTCCAATCACTGGCATTGCACCCGATTCTTACGCTTGACATGGTGTAGAAGATACAATCATTATATTATCCACAAGTCTTAATAAATGTTACTCGTAACGGTCTAGATGCTTTCGCGCCTGTTATTGGCGTATGCCAGGGTAAGTTGACTCTCAAATTCGCCGAGATGATGTATAAAAAATTAGGATATTATTACTGAAAAAATCGGAAAAAATTAACAGGGGCCTTCCAAACTCAGGATTCAATTCATGTAAAACATATACTCATCGTATAATTCCATAGGGTTTGAGTTTAATACAAAGTTGCCCACGGCAGTATATGCCTTCACCGAGTGGTAGTCTGACAGATGTCAATAAAAAAAACCCAGCGGTTGCCTTTTCGATGCTCCGTAGCTGCATGATGCAAACACGAAGGATTCGGTTCCATCGTACTATTCTTATTTGGGTTCTGATATGGCTTTATATATTCATGGTAAACGGTATATTTCGTAGGAGAAGCCGATAGAGCCTTGAGAAAATTCCTCACGACGCCAATTTTCAGAATCGTCTTTGGAGCTGCAATCAACATGGGTAGGGGCACAAAGGCCAGACGTTCAGCTGGAATTGTGGCTAGTGTTCGCAGTGAGCCAATTTTTACATCGTTTTGATGTACATTAGGCCTGCGAATTAGGTTCATTTTTCATTAAAAGCGCTCATAACGAGATGAAGGTATAAATTGACTCGTAAACCACTGATCTAACTAGGTTACTATGGTCTATGTTTGAAAGCAGCAGGTAAATTAGGTTACACAAACAAACAATAGTAA